AGGAAAGTTGTCAGGTGATGGGAGAGGCACTGTGGGACAACGGACATGGAAGAAGAAAATATACAGCAAGGTAGAGCAGGAACCTGAAGTTTGCCATGTGGCAGCCTGCCTGCCTTCTGAGACCCACAGGGGAATCAGGAAGTGGATGCCTTCATTAAGGTAAGGGCCATCTGCCTGCCCCCAAATGTCCCCAAAGCGGCTTGCTGGCTTTATATAAATGTGGCCACAGCTTGAAAAGTCAGCATAAAAAATAGTAAAAGCTACTGGTGTTCCAGCAAATACTCTGGCGGATGCTGTCCAGCCCATGGACCTCTTGCTGGCTACATCCTCAATGGGTGGATACTATGATGGGACACGTGCCTAAGTCAACCTCTGCCTGGTAGGGGACAGGCAAGTAGATTATATAGAGAGCCCTACCAGTCAGTGAAGTGGGACAGTGTGCTCTCACTTGAACAGAGGCCAGGCTGTCATCGAGGGTCTTACCCAATTCAGGGTCATGCGTGGTGGCCCACAGAGAACTGGCAGCGATAGGACACTCTTCCAGGGCACTGATGTGCAAACCCGGGCAGAGGGCAGCCAGGCACACAGCCTGAGGGGATGGGGTTAACTGAGAGAAAGTGGGTTGTTGGCGCCACAGTTGAAAGCCTTGAGTGTAGATGAACCCTGTGTGGGTGGAAGAAGGCCCTCCTAGAAGCCATACAGTTGCTAAATGAGAATCTCAGAGGCTCCCAAACAACAAGGGCTGTTGCTTCTGCTGTGGATTCCTTGTTACAGCTGGATACTAAGATCCTAGCTGCTAGAGACACATGGGCTGTGAGCTCAGGGAAGGGGGAGATCAAGCTGGGGTTAAGCTGGAGGCTGTCCCATTGACCGGTCTTCATAGGGCTAGAAGATGCTATGCGGACCCTGGGGAGAACTGTTGCCACAGACCTGCTCAACGATGGACCTCTCGGTGCTGCGCCACCAGCATGCCAAGCAGGATGTGCCTGCTGGCATAACAGTGGCCCGGCTAGTCTGTGTACCACCGCCATCCCAGCTGGGGTGCAGGCCCGCTCTGTGGGGAGGGGAAGACGCGCGTCTGGGACCGCAGGCCAGGCCAGCTTCTGTTGTTGAGGGCAGTGATGGCCGCAGTGGAGAAGTCGCTGCAACTGTCTTGTTGGATGGGTTTGATGCCAAGGTGCCTTCCAAGCATCTGGGTTTACACCTGTAAGTTAAGCCTGCAGTCGGGGGCTGTTTGGATAGTTTCCTGCTTTTCTATTTTCTCTCCTTTCGTTTGTGTTTGGTAGTAGAGGGGATACCATTGAGACTTGCTGACAGTCGTGTTCTAGAGATAGAGGAATGAACAAGAGGGCATGAGGATTCGGTCCCTCTTGCTGGGGCGGGGGGAAAATAGACACATATCTACGTCACCCCTCCAAGGCTCTGGGGTCCTAGTGGGAAAGGGGGATGGAATGAATGTAAGACCTGGAGGAGGGGTCAGGGTGCTGTACAGGACTATCTGAGCCAAACAACTGCCATCTGTGGAGTTCAGCTGTGCCTGTTTGCAAAAGATCATTCTAGCTGGCCTCGTTGACTGTTGACATCCTCTCATAGAAGGAGGGTCAGGGAGGGTCACAGGACCTCAGCTGAGTATTTAGCCCCTCCATATCCCCTGTTGTGTGCAATTCTACCCTAATTGCACATGGCTTTGGGGAGGGGCTAGAGCATCTAGGCCCAGGAGACGAGGGGAGGGCTCTATTTATGTGATTGTGGGGAAGCCATCACCCTGCTGGGTAACGACTTTCCAGCACAGCCCATTGGGCAGGAGAAAAGCACCTCACCAGTGCTCTGTAAGTAAGTCCAACAACTCATGACCGCCCAGGGTGAACTTTGGTGAACAAAACAAATACCTTTGTTTGTTGTTGGGATCTTAGGGAGGTGGATAAGGAATTTTAGCAACACCCTGACAATGATGTCACAAGTTTACCATCACTTGGGCAGATTATAACCCCCACCCTCAACTCAAGAAATGTGAGGTCTATGAAGAGGCATACCATATAATCAACTAGCAACATACCCCCCCCCCCCATAAACATCCCCACTACCAACCAGTTATGAGGAGAGCTGTGCTTACAGGTCTTGCCTCTTTAGTCAGCCACACAATCAACATTTCTTTTCACAAAAACCTCAGTCTCGTGGCACCGGCTGTTATGTGTGTCTGGCCAAAGTCCTCACTCAATGACAGTTTCTGGCTACTCAAGTAGGACTTTGAGTCTTCTGGCTGCCTGTGATTCTGGTCCCTAGGTGGGACCACCTGTACTGCTGTGAGGCCGGAAGACTGCCCCCCCCCCCCGACTCAGTGCTGTGGGACACCTGTGCCAACTTCCTTTTTGAGAAAAAGAAATATGCCTGCTCTGGGAACAAAGTGTCTGGTCTCTAGGCCAGTGAGCCTGCAAGGGCAGCTGTGGCTCTCTGGTTCAAGGAGAGATGCAAGCCCTCTCCCTATCCAGACAGTGGGGTGGGGTGGGGAGGGTAGAAAGATACGTGAAATCACTAAACTGTAAATGATTCCAGTCTCTGGTATCTGACTTAGAAGCAGAATAATCAGGGCTGTTTAATGCATTATTTTGTCGGCTCTGAGATTGTTGGCTTTGTCAATAGCTTAAACCCAGAAGTCATTGGCTGCCTGCTGTCCTGTCATCCGATGTCACTTGTTTGTTAAAGCCAGCTGCTCATAACCTCTGCCATCAAGTTATCACACACTCTTAGTAAGGGCTTGGTCAGGTCCAGATGCCATGTTCATACATTCATAAGTCACGGGACCTTGGGCTAATTGTGATCTCATTAAAGTGATAAAAACACACCCACTGGTACTCAAATGAGGAAAGAGGTGGGCCCCTGGCCCCTGGCAATTCTCCTTTCATGAGAGAGGCTATGATGGCAGCTGGCACACCACACCCCCTTACAGCCTTGCTGGTCAGATAGAAGGTGTCTTTTGCCCTGGGCTCCTCTGTCTATCCTCTGGGATAAATAAGATTTCTTACCTGTTTCTGGAACTATTGGGTTATTTGTGAAAGGCGTGGCAGATTTGGGGAGCATCTTGAGGGAGGCTAAGAGATTGGTGGATGTAGTGATTTTCCTACTGGAGGGTCCTTAGACTCAAGAAAAGAGACAGATGTCCCCTCTAGCCCATCCTGCGTGCCTGTGGGCCACCAGTGTCTTCAGATGGGTGACTTACTCATGTTAGGAAGCAGTTTTACAGGGAGCCTCCTCAGAAGAACATACCCTCCTCCTGGGCTGAAGGAACTCTAACAGCGCACTGGAAAGCGCAGTAAGGGAGTGGTCATCTGCACCTTGAACCACCCTGCATATGCTGTGTTGGGGTTTTCTAAAACACAGAAAGAGTGATTCTGCAGACATTGCTTGTACACCTCCTGCTCTGGTCGTCAGAAAAGCCTCTCACAGAAATGGGCCCTAGAGATGACACCAAACAGAAGCTAGTCAGAAACCATCAAGACAAACTGCTCCTGGACGTCCCAGGGACAGTTTAGGCAGATGTCCCATCAGCCAGTTTCCCCTTAGGCAGGGTTCCTCATTCACTTTTGAAATTTAAAGCATATTATGTTTTGGGTAATAGCTTGTGGTCTTTTTTGGTAAACTTATTTTAGTTTCTTCATATCTGGTTAAATATTTTATTTGATTGACATGACAAATTTAAAAGTTTCTTGTAACATCAATTGCAAGTAAGTTGCAAAAAAGGTTCAGCATACCTACCTAGTCATGGGGAAATGCAAGCTAAAACTACTTTGAGGTACCACCTTGCCCTAGTTAGAAGGCTGTCGAGCAATCTCTCTGTGGTGGTTTGAATGACAATGGCCCCCATAGGCTCATGGGCAGTGGCACTACTAGGAGGTGTGGCCTTGTTGGAGTGGGTGTGGCCTTGTTGGAGTAGGTGTGGCCTTGTTGGAGTGGGTGTGGCCTTGTTGGAGTAGGTGTGGCCTTGTTGGAGAAAGTGTGTCAGTGGGAGTGGGCTTTGCAGTTTCAGATGCTCAAGTTGGGTCCAGTGGCTCACTGTCTCTTCCTGCTGCCTGCCGATCCCGATGTAGAACTCTGGGTTCCTCCAGCACCATGTCTGCCTGTGCACCTCCATGATGACAGTGGACTAAACCTCTTAACTGCAAGCCTCTGCCCCCCTGCCCCACTCCCCAGTTAAATGCTTTCCTTTACAAGAGTTGCTATAGTCATGGTGTCTCTTCACAGTAATAGAAACCCTAAGACACCAACAAAAGGACCAATTGTAAGTTAGAGTCAACATGTAATGACTTTCAGGTTCCTGAGTAAATTCCTTTCTCTGCTTTTAACAATAAATAAAATTTGAGACAGGGTCTCATGTATCCCTGGCTGGCCTTGAACTCAATGAACTCTGTTTCCAGGATGCACATGGTAGGAAGAAAGAACCAAGTCCTCCAAGTTGTCCTCTACTTCCTCATGCGTGACACTGGTGCCCCACACCCCAGCCTACACAAAGTCCATAAGTAAATGTAATAAAGTTATTTTTTAAAACCAAAACTAATAATTGGATATTATTGATGGGTGGAAATAACCAAAAGTCCAAATAGAATAACTAAAATGTAACGCACAGTGGAAAGCGAGTTACCACTAAACAGGAATGGGGTGCTGAGCCATGCTACAGTGTGGATACACCTTGAAAACATGCTACATGAAAGAGCCAGGCACACAAGAGTGTAGGTTGGCTACTACATTCATGCGGTGTCAGGATAGGTAAATCTGTGCAAGCAGAAAACAGAGGAGTGTCTGCCGAGGTCTGGATGGTATGTATGTGCTGGGTTTTGATGTGTATGACATGTGTTGAGGTTTGGGCTGGCACAGTTCACCTGTTTTGTTGGGTATGTTTCTAGAAACAAGGTGTTTGCTGAGGGAAGCAGCGGGCACCAAGCTGAGCCTGCCCAAGAGAGGTCACGTGTGCTACAAGCGACAACCCTGAGGGCTAGTTGTACCCGTGGCTCTCGGAGTACAGATGATGCCATTGTAAGCTGCAGATGCTGGGCGTGGAGCCGCAGGGCTTGGATTTTGCTGCTGAGCTCTTGTCTTGCTGCGGTCTGATCTTTGCTTTCCTTCTGACCTCCATTTTGAATGGTAATGTTACTCTATGCCGTTGTGTGTTGGAAGTGTGGAACTTGGTGGGTTTCATTGTTGCTCATTGGTGGATTATTGGGGGAGGTACAATTAGGAGATTGCTTGAGTCTCAGCAGGCACTTTTGAACAGTGCTGGCCTAGAGGACTATGGGGACTTTTGAAATTGGGCTGATTATATTTTGCATTATTAGATAATCATGAGACTCTAAGGAAGGGTGGAACGATGTCTAAAGGGATGTGTTTCAGTGTCACGTTGACAAGGGTTCACCGTGTGGTGGTTACTTTTGATTGTCAGCTTGGTTGGATTAAGAAATGCCTAGTGAGGCACACTTTTGGGTCTGCCTTAGGTGTGTCCTGGAAGGATTAACTGAGGGGAGCACCAGCCACGGATGTGGGCAGCAGCATGCTGGGGGGAGGGTGGAAATGGCGGTCCCTGGCTGAAGGAAAAGGGCAAAGGGAGAGAGCCTACCCAATGCCACTTTCTCTCTGCTGCCTGGTCCACTCACGTGTGAGTAAGCAGCTGCCGCATCCTCCTGCCGCCACGCCCTGCCACTGTGGTGGACTGTATCTCCATCATAAGTTGTCTCTTGACAAAGCACAGCAGCAGGAAAACAACTCGTATAATTCGCACTCTACAGCACACCCCCGAGAACTCTTCCCTGGGCTGGGGCCATGGCGGCTGCTTTGGTCATATCAAGCGCTAGCCTGTTATGTGGGATGCTCCCTCTCATTCAATATTACACTCGGATCTGTGTATAGCACACTTCAGCACTTCGGGCCTTGCCAAGTCTTTCTCTCACCATTGTCGGGGAAGAAAATAATGTTCTCTTTAACTCTCATAGAATCTTAGGTGGAGCAGAGTTTCCTAACAATAGATTAGCAAAATCCAGAAGTTTATTAACGTGTGTTAACATGTATCTCATATGCACATGGGAGACACCCACAAGATGAGAAGTTTGGACAGGTGGCTTTGAACTCCATCCTGTGCACATCTTCCCCAAAGAACAGTTCCTCAGGATTAGTTACAAAGACAAAGAAGGGATTTTGGGCCTCCAGGGCAAACGGCTTGGAAAAGCAAATAAAAAGCAGACAGAGAGAGGCCGGCTGGCAGAGCGGGATGGTGGGGATTCCTCTGGTGCCATCTCCAGGCCAGCAGGAACCAAGGTTGTCTTTTCCCTCTGCCTGGAGGGAGGAGCAGAATATCTATCCCTTTTTGTGAATCTGTGCTCTTCCTTTGGGTCAACAGAGGGAAGGCAGCGAGTGCTCCCATCTGCTGCCCCTCAACTGTCTTCAACTGAACAAACCTTCATGTGTGGGGGCATCCACTCAGGAGTGGGGTCCCTTCCCACACTGGAGAAAGCTGCAGGAGACCCCAGTCCTTGGCCTGCCTTTCTCCATAGCACCCACCACACATCCCCGTGTTTACTCTTTGGGTTATTCCCACAGAAACACACAACTCCAGGACAGGGAGAGATTTTGTTCTCTGCTAGTTCCAATGGCCAGCAGTGCCTGGCACATACTAGATGCTCAGCGGGCATAACTATTGTGATACCTCAGTAAAACCCCCCACTCTACCCCTTACAGACAAGGAGAAGCTTAAACCAGGATTCCTAAGTGTAGATAAGAACTTAGACCCCTTTTCCCCAGGTGGCTGTATCTGCTACAGGGACTTTGGGAAACACAGTCAGGATATTCGACCAAAAGACTAAAAAGGGAGGCGGGTTAAAATAAATTATATGGTCTGTGCCTTTAAGAACTAGCCTCACAAAGAAAGGGG